AGACTGATCGTTGCCAGAGGGGAGGGGGTGGGGAGATGGGCACAATGGGTGAAGGGGAGTGGGAGGTACAGGCTTCCAGTTATGGAATGAGGAAGTCATGGGAATAAAAGACACAGCACAGGGAACACAAAGATTTCCTAATGGCGATATAATGGGACAGATGGGAGCTACCCTTATGCTGAGCATACAATCACCAGTAGAGCTGGTGAGTCACTATGTTGTACACCTGAGATTAATGCAACATTGTGCTTCAACTACACTAAAAAACAGAAAGTCTTTTACTACTTGTAGCCTCTTAGGGCTTCACTGACTTCCTCTGTCCCTCTGTCTTTACAACACCGATGGATTTACTTTGTTTCCAGCATCAAATCAGGTTTTCAGAACTGAGCGACAGGGATTAAAAACAGAGTGGAGATGGGATTCTTTGTCTGGTTTCCCAAGGCAGAAAAAGTTGTTATTCACATCAACTATCAGGAGTGATTTCTCAACACCTGGCAGGATTGCTGAGAGTATTAATGAAATCGCACACGCAATTTACATGTGTGATTTACATTCTACAGGAGGTGCTCAAAAATGTTCATTTTACTTCTCTTATGGCAAACTCACCAAATGCGTGGACCTAGGCTGTCTGAAACCCATGCCGGCTAATATTTCATGTCAACCCAAGTGTGCAATACCGCCGCTCAGCTTCATGGCCAGAAAAGTGATTTAGGATTCTCCAAGTGCAAAAATCAAGGCTCCAAATTTGGGTGGTAGGGGAAGGAGGTGGAGGAGTAAGAGAATTAAACAAGGTGTTCAACAGATGATGCTGGCAAAACTTGAGAAAATTTAATACTGGCAAAGGGATGTTTAGAACTGTGGGTATTACGTGGATTAACTGGCAAAAAAAAGAATACCTTTGCCTAGAAGTTTCACATAAATGCAAAAGTGGTTTTTCTGCTTCAATAGAAGCCGAATTACCTTGACTGTCCTCTTTATTCACATGAGAGCTTCAGTAAAGAAAGAGCAGGGACCACCTCTTACAGGTTTATATCATGAGAAAAAGAAGTAAAACAGAAAATGAAAAAAAACCTCAAAATTCAAGTTTCTTGTTCAAATGGTCTCTATTTCCTTATGAAACACCAAAATGTGAGTTAAGTACCCTAGAATCAGAATAAATCTTGCCTTGTAATTGTTGACCAAAACGCTTCCTCAACATAAGAGAACTTTTTGAATGCCGATATGATTTCTTAGGAGTGATAAGTAACCTAGTAATAATGTTAAGGCCCCAACATGAAGAATTTTGGCAACAAAAACAGACGGTTAATTCTACTTAAAAGACAGGGTAGCCCTGCCAGCCAGTGTTGTTCCCAAATGAGGTAATGTCCATGGCTCTTATCTAGCCTTTATGGAGATTTAATGTCATTTACCATCGGCTCTTTCCAACGGGCTGCATAATCTCACCTCTTCTCATGTGTGTTACTTCTATCCATGTCAGCATTGCAATTAGAAACCTCTGGTTTTTAAAATGATTAAGAAACTGATTCCCACATGTCTTCTTTTGATGCATGTCCTATAATTTGAGTCTTGCTTCAACCGTTCCAGAAAATTCAGAGATCAGCATAGTTCTCATTTTCAAGGTATCTTATAGAAATACTCTGAGGTTTGATAAATTTATGTAAATATTTTTTAAAGAAGCCAAAATGTGTAATTCAAGAAAAAGTTCTGTGAAAGAACTTGCTTTCACAAAATGATTTCCTCCTTTCAAAAAAAAAGGGGAGGGGCCTATTTTATATTTATTTAGCTGGCTCTGAAAGTCCCATGGAGATTCTCATGCCTTTCAATCCCTAACACCTCTTTTCCAGGTGCAGGCCTTTTATCGGTTTCAAAGGTGGCTTTATGTGGAGAAGGAATCCAAAAGCTGTAGAAAGGAAAGAGAAAAAGAGCCCTCCTCATCTTAACCCCTTAAGCTTTCCTCACAAAGAACAACAGAGTGAAACCGAACTATTACAACACAGATGAGACACGCAAATGGGACACGACAGAAGGGTTTTCACATGCCTTTGACTTCCTTTTTTCACCCAGGGTACAGACCAATCTTGGTAAAGACAGGAATCCGTTTGACAAACATGAACACGACACCTAACACCCAACGCCCATACTGTTCTGTTCTGTTTTCAACAAGCCCTTCACCTCCCAACACTCAGGAACAAAAGCGACAGACACAACCAATCTGGAGTTACAGGTCTTTTACCTTTCTGGGGAGTTTCGCGCTTTGGGTCCCAGGAAAAGTCAATTTGAGATATCAGAGGCAGCCCAGAGACAGAGCAGAAGACCATGCTTTGTTGCCAGGCAGACTGGTGAGACAAAGGCCTGACCTGTTAGGGCTGCATGTGGGAAACGAGGCTGGGAGGCCCATTTGTACAAGTGGCGAGACAGCCAAAGAAGCAATTCCAGCCTTACCACTTCTGACAAAATTCAGCCAAGAGTTGATCTGCAGGGAAGAAAATCTGCTGGCTGATCCCCACTCCTTCCTTGACAATCTGAGCCCCCCTTCTAACTCAGCTGCAGAATCTAGACATCTTTGAAGAGCCTGTTCTTAGTTACTCATTACTGCCAGCTCCTAACCTTCAAAGCACAAGAAATGGACAGAATCAAGTCACCTAACTTGTATGTGCCTCAGGGTCCCACGTTTAAAACCAAGATAATACCACCCTGTCTTCTCATCATTGAGATATACTGAGGACCAAGAGAGGCGAGTGCCTGAGGATCTTCCCCGAAGAGACCACCAAAGGCCCACAGTGTATACAACACAGACCAAAGGGTCTGCCCTGGGGCCCTTGGGGATCACCGTGCTCTTTTCAGATCTGCAAGATCAAACTCTTTCCAAAACGCCACTAGGCCACTCCTTCTCGTGCAGTACACAGCGGAGTCTGCTGGGGCCACGAGGTGTATGATGATGTCATCACTCTAATCATGACTAATGGAATGTGTGCTTGTGAGTTCTTGTGCTGTAAGATTTTTTGTTTTAGAGTCTAGTTAAGTATCAGTAGACAAAAGCTCTTTGGAATCTTCAATAACTTGCCTGAGGTTAAAGAGGCCCTGAGACCAGTGCAAGACCAGCCAATCCGGAACTTGGTCCCACTGAAGCATGCAGTTCCCAGGTGGGTCCACTTCTCACCCACCCTGAGCCTTGCCATGTGCTGTTCTCTCTGCATGAGGGACTCCCCTTCCCTCTTCTGCCTGGCTAGTTTTTTTCTGCTCTTTACTTAGATGTTGCTTTCTCTGGGACACTTTCCTTGGCTTCCCCAAAACGAGTCAGATGGCCTTGCCGTGTGCACACTACACTGTGATTGCCCAAGTTCAGGCGTTTTTTGGCCTTTGACTCCTTTGATGCAACAACTGTTCTGACAGACACAGCAGTATGTAGGAGGCATTCCACAACTACTGGCTGATTATATACAACGACCAAGGAAGGAACGAAGACAAGAAGATAGGTCTCTCTTGCATTCATTCTCACCTAGAGGGAATCAGTTACTAAAAATATTAGTGTCCATTATAGAACAGGCTCACTAAAGCTAGGATAATAATAACAAAAGTAACTATATACCATATTATGTACCTGGTGTTATTCTATGCACTTGATATGCATTAGTTCATTTAATCTTCACAAAATCCCTAACAGGTATACATTACTATTATCCTTATTTCAAAAATGAAGACACAACATTATAGGTTAACTATACTGTAATTAAAATTTAAAAACTTAATAAAAACAATGAGGAGACAGAAGTGTAGGCAGTGAGTAGTAGATCGGAGATGGACGCTAAGCCTGTCTGGTTCCAGAGTCCCATACTGTTAATCACTCTAGCCTCTCGTGTCGGCAGTGCAGACCTCAAGCTTAGAGCATATATTGAGATCCCAAGGCCATCTCTCAACTCTGCTCACAAACCAGGCACAAGATTTGATACTTAAATCCCCCTCCAATGCCGACCCACCATGAGTGACCCCGGCAGACACGTGAGCAGATCTCACCAGTACCATCTGTTTCCTAGGTAAGAGGTAGGGCTTAAAATAGACAATTTCAGGGGCGCCTGGGTGGCTCAGTGGGTTGGGGCCTCTGCCTTCGGCTCAGGTCATGATCCCAGGGTCCTGGGATGGAGCCCCATATCGGGCTCTCTGCTCAGCGGGGAGCCTGCTTCCTGCTTCCTCCTCTCTCTCTGCCTGCCTTTCTGCCTACTTGTGATCTCTGTCAAATAAATAAATAAAATCTTAAAAAAAAAAAAAAGACAGTTTCAGTAAGAAGTCTATTTCTCATTCATTTGTTGTACTTTAGTCCTTTCTAGAGGAAATGTTAAAAGCGATAAATATATTTGTATATTTATTAAAAATAAAAGGTCTCTCTTGTAGCACAGAGAAAAAGGGAAAGTGGGGATTGACCTTTCCATGTGCTGTGGTGTTACACTGCCGGGGAAATTCCCCGTGATGTGTATAACTCTCCTTCTGTGTCCTGTACTAACTCCTCTTTCAAGGAATGTCCACAGCTTCACCCTGAACAGGGAGTGGCCCAGAACATTCTGCAGGCACTTGATGGAAAAGACAAAACTCTAAGTGGTTCAGAGAGGTAAGTCCAAATGGGAAAGCTTACTGTGTGAAACAGGATTTACTGCAAAAGACGATCTGACTGAATCACAGTGTGATGCTGTACTTAAATGTTTTTTAATGGAAAAAAAAAAAAACATACCTAGGAAATACCTTTTCTTTCAGCAATAGAAAAAAGTTCTACAATAAAGTTAAAAGCTTGTGTATCTTGGGTGATGGACATTGGGAAAGGTATGTGCTATGGTGAGCGCTGTGAAGTGTAAACCTGGCGATTCACAGACCTGTACCCCTGGGGCTAATAATACATTATATGTTAATTAAAAAAAAATAAAGCTTGTGTATCAAATCTTAACCTGCTAACAGTACATGAGAAATCAAACTTTATCCTGTGCTGTGTGACACAGAGTAACTGTATTTACCTGGAGAAGTGTCCCATGAATATGGTTTTGCCGGAAACACTGGTCAGTGTTGTTGGGGAGTTTGGCCAACAGAGTTTGGATGGTAGCAGGGATTTCATCTACCATAACAAACGGGACCAAGGCACGAGCTGCCATTTCACGGGACCGGTAGACAGGCGAGTAACCACATCTGGGGAGACAAAAACACAAGATAATTCAATACTCATTTCCACATTCGTGCCTTTGTATATGCTAATGTTCTATCTAGTTCCAGATGGGACAACTAAGCTGGGGGAGATAGGAGTTCCCAATGTTTTTTTATACTTCCCTTATGCCAATGATTGTATGTGTGGGTTATTGTTAGCTCTACAGGTGATTTTCCTTTTCACATAAAAACCATTAATATCTGTGGTTTTATCACAGGGATAAATGCAGATCGGCTCTGGGAATGATTCAATAAGCAAGTAGTAGCAAAAATAGCTTCCTCCTCAACAATCAAACAACTATTCATTGGGCACTCAAAATGAACAAACGATAAGTGCCAAGAGAAATAAAACAGTCATTGTGAGGGAGCCTATACTCTGGTCGGCAAGATGAGCAGTACATTTGAGAAGATGACCAAAAGCGCAAGACAGTTCTGGGAAAGTGATAAGCAAGTGATTGTCATATTATGGCTATGTGAGGATAAGACTGTAGGTTGTGGTATCGAGAAGGATAGAACTCAGGAAAGCAAGCATAATTCTAAGAAGGCCGAAACCAGGAAGTTGTTTCAGCCAGTAACAGTGAGATAAAGAAAGGGTAAAAATGCTCAAGGGACAGGTAGATGTGGTCTGACTAAAGCAGAGGCTCCGAAATAACATTGGAACTTCAGGCTGAGAAATGGTTTTGGCTAGACTGGGTAGTGCCACAAATGACAGACTCTATGATCTTGAACTTATTGTCAAGAGAACAAGAGTTGGACCCTCAAGTCACTGAATCCTAGCCTCTGGGATGACTCACACCCAAAGAGCTTGAATAAAAGCCAGTTCTTAAATAAGTGAAAGTCAGAGACAAGTGGTATTTTGAGATTCTACAGAGGTCATTGGAAAGGCAGGTCATCTAAGGGCCTCTTGACTTTGTAAACACTCAGAATCTGAGAGCCCACAACCATTTTGTTGAAACTGTGTACTTGAGAGCCTTCACAGAGATAGTGTTATTTGAGGGGAAGGCCCAATACGGTAGGTCTTGGCTTAAATAAGTTCTTATCTAGAACTCGCGAGGCTCCATGATCTTTTACCCAATTTAAAAAGTAACTCAACTCATAGAAATATCTTAGACTCAGAGACAAGGATGGGGAAGATTAGAAGATAGTAGACTCTATGGAAGAAAGAGACGATCTCTTGCTTTGTTTTCAAAATTACTTAGTATTCCATAAGGAATTATTGGTAGGATCTGGGCCATGGTAGGTTTAGCATGTGGAGGGACAAAGCCCTATGACTGAAATGTTTCTAATACCCCAGAAGTATCACTGACATTTATCTTAGTATGACAATAAAAGAAAGACAGAATTTCTATACAATATCTGTTTGGAATGATCCAAACAATTTCATTATGGGGAGTGGTAAGTCAAGCACTGTGTCATTTTTTTCCTCCTACAAGTATAGGTCTGTGAGACAAGTCAATCACCACACACTTCATGGATAGGGAAGATCTCACCTTACATGGTACTGTAAAATGCTGAGAGCTAATGTTACAGTAGGTAGCTAGAGATTTCCCAGTGGTCTTTGACTAGGTTCTGCCAAATCACCCATTTTCTACTTATTTTTCCTTTAAAATGATTAAATGTTTAATCCTTAATTGGCAAATACATTGAAATGTTTGCTTTGGCTCATGGTGGGTGGGGGGGGGGTGGAGATTGAGAAAACTTCACTTGACAGAGAAAAGAAAATACTCTGAAAATGCTTTGAGATTTAATTAGCAAATGACCTCACTCAGCCCAGTCATTTGTCGGAAGCTTCCCCATCTGTCTGTCCCCTACCCCTCCAACACACACACTTTGTGTTAGTGTGTGTTTTATGTTACCGAACTGGGCTCTTGTATATAAATGTTTCTTTTCAAATACAAATAACTCTGACATGGTTACAGATGTTTAGTTTCTAATGAGCAGTAACTGTACACTAAAGAATGCCCCTCCTTTTGCTCCTGACCTTTAGCAAATGATGATTTCCCAAAGGAATCTGGCATCCATACAGGAGAAAGAATGGAAAGTGGGAAAAGTGCCAGAGTTTTCTGTTTTCGGATACCCTGTGCTAGGGTACTTTCCAAATGCACACAATCAGGTTAAAGAGCAAAACAAAATCTCCCCTTAGAAAAGTAATTCAATTACAGAAAAAAAGAGAAGCTTACTTTAAAAGTAATATTTAATTATCACTCATTGTGAAATGATGATTAAATGTAATTTTAAACTCCTCTCATTGCACATTGTTAAAATGGAAGAATAGATTATAGTCAATACACACACACACATACACACACACACACACTAAGCAAAAAAACATTTCCAGGTTACTGTTTTGTCAATTACTGGGGGGCAGGGAGGGATCTGATGACATTTAGCTTTTCTCCAGGTCTATGTGGCCTGGAGTGTGAGGGGATATAAACACAGTCTTTTTAGCCCTGAGCAGAATATATCTGAAGCTAAAATCTATCTTTCCCTTGGGTAGAATCTACTAGTTTGATTCAGTAAATGTGCAGGAATCAAGCAGAGATGCATTTTGGTGACAGAGAATCTAGTGGCTATACAGGATGGAAAATCAGAACACCTGGATCTCCATCCTGCTTTTGGACACTCTTTTATGACCTGGACAAGTCACAGTAACCTCTCTGGGTCTCAGCTTAGCCAGCAGTGGTAGCAATAATCAATACTCAGTGTTCTCACCTGATGTCTATGAGAACATTCCAAGGATGCTTTGGAGATACAAAGTTTCCCTAGTGCAATGTGCCTGTGTCCAGCACAGCATCAGCATCTTCTAAGGACCCCAAGCCTCTAAAGGGCTTCAATGAGAGAATTAAGACTGTGGTGTGAATGTTGAACCATTTTTAAGAAGAAAAGACAACAAATTGATGATATAAGGCAATGAGTTTTGTTTTGGCTTGGGGCTTTTTCTTTCTCTCGCTCTCTCTCTTTTTTTTTTTTTTTGGCTTCCATTAAAAGTAAAGAGGAGGACACTCAAGCCCTTCTGAAAAGAAGTAGGGCTGCTTCTGTCTCTCTAAGCTTCAGTTTCTTCTGGAAAATAAAGCAAATGGATTTGGGATCTCAATGGTCATTTCTCCTTTTACTATTGTTTGAAAACCATGTCGTCAGTAGCTCCAGCTGTGTTCTAAGCCTGAACACAAGGTCCTTCCACAGGATGTACAGGCCATGCTGACACCTGAACCTCGAGACCTTTCACTCCAATTAACCCTTTCCACATTCATTTTAATCTCATCTTTACTGAGCACCTACTGCGCTCTCAGCACTGCGTACCATGAGAAATGCACATTTGGGGGGCGCCTGGGTGGCTCAGTGGGTTAAAGCCTCTGCCTTCACTCAGGTCATGATCTCAGGGTCCTGGGATCGAGCCCCGCATCGGGCTCTCTGCTCAGCAGGGAGCCTGCTTCCCCACCCCCGCCCCCCGCCTGCCTCTCTGCCTATTTGTGATCTCTCTCTGTCAAATAAATAAATAAAATCTTTAAAAAAAAAAAAGAAATGACACATTTGTCAGCATAATGCTTGCATCCTGCAATCATATAGCCTGGGCAGCTTATAAAACACCCGCACACCCCTATTTCTTTATTATGCAATATTCCTGCAGGACATGAGGGCATTATAAACCTAAATTAACAGATGAAACATATAACAAAGCTCAGAAGAGTGAAGTGGACCCTCCAGCATATATAAGCAATAGCACCCAAGCCGGGGCCATATCCATGGCTCCAAGATGGAGCCTGTGGGCTATTCCAAGCTATACCTTGGACCTGGAAATCCAGGGAGCATAAAGATATCTCCCAGCTAATAAAAACACAAGCTTTACAAGTATGTAGAAAATCCCTAAATGAGTGTGTTTTTGGTTTTTGCTTTTAATATTTACAGGATCATGAAAACATTTCAGGATCTCATGTACACTGTGGACTCTCTCAAAAGAGAAACGGATTTATAAACATATACAGACAATTTCCCATATAATTTCAGGGGTGCACAACACACACCCAAAACCCCCCGGGCAGGGCTTCCCAGACCCTGGGTGAGAATCTCCAGTTGCTCCTTTGCACACAGTGTGACTGTCAGGTCTGTGCTCTGTTTAGAGACGGAGACAGAGAACAGGACTCTGGCTCACAGGAAATCATTGGTCTGGAGGGGAGCCAGACCGATAACCCTGTAATCGCAGACCAGGAGTACCGTGGAGGCACACACACAGCTGTGAGCAGCACAGAGAAGCTAAGCAGGAGGTGGAGTTGGAACGGCTTTCTGGAGGGGAGAAAGGACCTTCAAGTGAGGATGATACAAACCGCCGGACTTCAGGAAGCCCGGAGAACCCTGAAGAGTTTAGAACGTGGTGTTCTGAGGAGGCAACAGGTCTTCTGAGATCTCCCCCCAGCTTCACCCTGTTTCCTAGAGTGGTGGCTGAGCTTTATCCAGGTGTTTCCCTCTTTATATCTACCCTCAGAAGCTGTTCCGATTTTCTTGGAAGGTTTCACAGGTAAGTGGCTGGACATCACCCAAACTGTTTCTGCTCACCCGAACTTCCTAGAGGAGGCATGGAGACATCTGCTAAGTGCCTAGCACAAGCCCACGCTGGGATAGGTACCAGGAAATCAGAAAGAAAAGCCACACTCAGGCTACGGGAACCTACAGGGAATGGGAAAGATAGGCCGATCAGCCAATGCTTCTCAGGGCCCCAGGAAGTAACCATAGGCTGTTATAGAAAAGCTAAGGGGAGACATGCAGAGAGGAGGGTAGGTGGTCTGGGAGATATGGTCCAGCTGGGGTGCAATGGGGGCCAGTAGAAAGAACATTCGGGTTTGACCTGTGTCTTTCCCTACATGAACCTAAACTGCCCTTCTGTGTGTCCAGACAGAAGGAAGGGAACTGAGGTTTACTGAATGCCTACTGTGTGTGGGGGCTGACCATGTAGTCTAGACACCCTAGTTCATTTACTTCACTAAATCTTC